ACTCAGGGGCATGCAGTATCTGCGGTTGGACGGTGCGACAAAGGCAGACGATCGTTCAGACTTGCTGAGGCTGTTCAACGCGCCCGATTCGCCCTACTTCTGTTTCCTTCTGTCCACGCGTGCTGGTGGTCTCGGTCTCAACCTTCAGACTGCTGATACCGTCATCATTTACGATTCGGATTGGAATCCTCACCAGGATTTGCAGGCCCAAGATCGTGCCCATCGTATCGGTCAGAAGAACGAGGTCCGCATTCTACGTCTGATTACATCCAATTCGGTAGAAGAGAAGATTCTCGAGCGAGCCAACTACAAGTTGGACATGGATGGCAAGGTCATTCAAGCTGGTAAATTCGACAACAAGTCTAAAGATGACGAGCGAGACGCCATGTTGCGTATCATGTTGGAATCCGCTGAAGCAGCCGAAAGCCTTGAACAAGAGGAAATGGACGATGACGACCTGAACCAGATCATGATGCGACACGAGGAAGAGTTGGCGATATTCCAGGAAATGGACCGAAAGCGTATTGCCGAGGATCCATACGGCCCTGGTAAGCCTCTAGGTCGTTTGATTGGCGAGAGCGAACTGCCAGATATCTACCTGAACGAAGAGGCACCCATCGTCGACGAAAAAGATGACACGCCTGCTGGCCGTGGTGCTCGAGAGCGTACACGGGTCAAGTATGACGACGGTCTAACGGAAGAGCAGTGGCTGGAGGCTGTTGACAACGACGATGATTCAATAGAAGCAGCTATTGCTCGCAAGGAGGCGAAGATGGCCAAACGGGGTAGGAACAAGGGTGGGCGGGGCGACGAGGAGTCGCCAGCACCATCACGCGCCAGTTCCGAGGAGCCTGTACCCAAGAAGCGAGGCCGTAAGCCAAAGGCCGAGAAGCGCAAAGCAGATGAAGCCTCACTTGACGTTGAGCCCACACCACGGAAACGCGGACGGCCAGCTCCTAGCAAAGACATGTTGCAGCCTGATCAGCGAGCATCTCTTCAAAAGATTGTCAACGTCGTCTACGAAGCGCTTAACGATCTCGAAGAAGAGTCGTCAGATCCCAACATTCCAAATCGTGGCATCATCGACCCTTTCATTGAGCTACCAGACAAATGGGATTATCCAGACTACTACCAACTGATCAAGAATCCCATCTGCATGAAGCAGATTGAGAAGAAGATCAACAAGAAGGAGTACCAGTCTGTCAAGCAGTTCCGCCAAGATCTGGGCTTGCTCTGCAACAACTGCCGGACCTACAACGAGGACACGTCACTGCTGTTCGCAGATGCCAATCTCATTGAGCAGACTGCGCTCGACAAGCTGAAGGAGGTGACGGCAGAGTATCCAGAATGGCAAGATTATGATGATGGAAGCAGTGTTCAGGGCGGCCTTAGCACGGCAATGACAAGCGCGGTTGGCACACCGCGGGCTGGAGTTTGAAAGGAAAGATGGTACGTTAATACTTGAGCAATATATACTCTTTTTTTTTCTCGCACACATTTGCTGACTCTCCTCCCCAGATGAAACGGGCATAATTTCCATACACACGTAGCTCCTCCCCCATGTCCCCAGCTCGATATCCCAACGTCCTTTTCTTCGATTCTATTACACTTTTCTCTCCATGTCGTTACTCTCCCCCTCTCTTTGTTGAGACTTTACACGCGTGGAATGTATCGTTTTTGCCAAAACGGACCTCTGGGTGATACATCATAAACAATCAAATCAAACAAAAAAAGGACAGAGGAAAGTAGAGAGTGTCCCGGGCAAAATCCTACGACGCTGAACATGTTTTCTTTTTCTTCTTTTGCACGAGAACGGGCGCAATAAACTGCTTTATTTATTCACTTCCAAGCTCATGGGTGGTGGAAACATGGGAATGAAAGGGGGTTTTGTTACGCTTTGACTGAGTGACATGATCCTAAAGGGGGGTTTTATTGGGAGGAGGAGCAGCAAGCTGGGGGGAATTTGGGAGTTTTGTTTCTTTTCTCTCTTGAATGGAGTTTTTGGTTGCATGGCTACTGTAGGCTGTCTTTTTTTTTTCAAAGGTAGCTTTTGTAGCCCCCCCTTCTTTTTCTGTGGACCACGAGGCTTCCAATGTCTTTTGAGGTTCTAGAGTGATAAAAGGAAAATGTATTATATTTAAAATCCCTTTCTGATAGTGATACTGGCCGAAGTATGTGTGGGTGATGTGTCTCTCTTAGATGTTCTGAGTCGGCCTCACGACTGCTGTGCGGTGTTCCACTTTACGCAGTCTTCGAATTTGACGCTGGAACCGCCGAAAATGTCGAGGGCACTGCCAATGGTGAGATCGACCTTGCCGTTGCTGAGCTTCTTTACGAGCTCCAGGTCGTCGAGTGAGTGGCCTCCACCTGCGTACGTGACGGGTATGCTGCACCACTCTGCCAACTTGGCAACGAGCTCGTGGTCAATGCCTCGCTGTAGGCCTTCGACATCTGCGGCGTGGATAAGGAATTCGCTACAGTGAGGTTCGAGGAGGGCTATCGACTCTGTAACTTTCCATCAGCTTCAGGGTTAAAATTAGATAGAGAGAAGTCCAGGTCCCACCTTTATTCAGCTCAAAGTCTGTAATCGTTTGCCATTTGTTCGTCGCAACAAACCACTTGTCATCTTTCCTTCGGCACGACAAATCAATGACGAGTTTAGACTTGTCGTTACCGAGGGCCTTCAGCACGGCTTTCAGGCGATCCATGGAGAAGGTTGATGAGGGAAAAAGGTAAGATGTTATAATCACCTACTGCGCTTCCATTAGCCTCAGGATCTATACTCAAGCCCTCGTTCCTCGGGCCAATTACGCATATACCGCTCACCTTATCCGCGCCTTTTGCAATCCACTCGGCTGCGTTTTGCTCGGTGATGCCGCCGCCAACTTGCATACCGCCTTTCCATGCCTCAAGCGCTTCTTGCGCTGCTTGATCGTTGCCGGGGCCTAGCATTATGACGTGTGCGCCGGTTAGGTCATGTTTTTTGTAGAGGTCGGCGTAGAATGCTGAGGGGTGCGAGGATGTCCAATTGGTTTTTAGTTCGTCGGGTGTCGTGGTGTTGAGCGTGCCACCGACAATTTGCTTAACGCTGCCGGCGTGCAGGTCGATACAGGGGCGGAAGCGCGTCATGGTGTGTTTGCGAGTAAGAAAAAGGTGAATTGGATATGTTCCGCTCGGTGTTGCGGGGGAGGGGTTCAGAGAGACGGAGGTCCGAACCGAATTTGGCGCTAGTAAGGACCCTTGCTCGAAACTTTTTGAGATTCTGTCGTACCGCGTCGCATTGCCATTACTGCCTTCTCAGAGCTAAACCACGACACCTCACGATACAATCATGGGGCCAGCACTTGGAAAGCGAAAACGCGTTACACGCGCCGAACTTGAGCGAGAATCGCGGTCACCATCGCCTTCGTCAGGCTCGAGCGACGACTCTGGTGCAGAGGATCTACAAGCAGTATTTCGCCGCGCGTTCGAAGCAAAGTTTAAGCCTCTGCCGACAGAGCCCAAGAAACCTAAGATTGAAGCGATTCCTATACAGGAACATGAAGAAGAAGACGAGGAAGAGTCAGACTGGTCAGGCATCAGCGACCAAGAAAACGACGTCGAAGTAATCGAATACCACGACCCCCATCGCGAACTCGACGACACCGAGCGCGCAGAAATGAAAGCCTTCATGTCCTCTAAACCACCTACCTCAGCCTCGAAATCTACAGGTACTTCGTTATCCCAGAAGAAAAACAAGAAGACTGAGGACACCGACACAACCGAAGCCACGAATCTCAAAAACGACCTCGCACTCCAAAAACTCCTCCGAGAATCCCACCTTCTCTCTGCCTCTTCCTCCGGAACCTCAACCCCAAACACATTGACCGCCACGGGTGTCGACCGCCACAAATCAATGGACCTGCACCTACAATCTCTCGGCGCAAAGGGCTCCATCTTCACTCAAAAGAAAATGCCTATGGCTCAACGCAAACATATGGAGCTCAAGGCACGCACGACGGAGGCGAAGCGCAGAGCGGAGGCCAGAGAAGCGGGTATCGTGCTCGAGAGGGAAAATAAAGCGTCGGTGAGCAAGAAAGTGGAGAAGAAGAGGGAGAGAGGTGTTGGTGGACCGAGTATAGGAAAGTTCAGAGGAGGAACGCTGAGTTTGAGCAAGAAGGATGTTAGGAGTATTACTGGTGGTGGGGGGGCTAAGGGGAAGGGCAAGGGGAAGAAGGGAAAGAGGTGAGATGGTGATGAATGTGGAATGATACCCTCGAATTCGATTATGTGCTATTCTACCGTTATGTACAGTGCAGACCTTTTACTTGTGTATATGTGCCGTCTTCTTGTCAAGAGCTATCGTGATATTGGGTTATGAGCAAAGGTGTCCAGCAATTGGGGATGTGCGATATGGTAGAGAGCTGCAGGGAGAGTGTTAGAGGAAACGACAAGAGGAGAATGGTGCACAACGTGCAAATCGTAAGAGGAGCAATCCTCAAAGGAGTATCAGCAATGAAGGATAGGATAGTGACATGCCGCAATGTATTTTTCAATGAAGAAAACTAGCGTTTGATCTCATTTAGAAGAAAGCTGCAAGACATGTACGCGGAATCTGGTTTCCTCAGATTGTAATTTCGTTCTTTTGACTGAAGTCAGAGACAACATCTACTGGATGGAAGGATATGAGGGTACATTGTAGAGAACTGAAGAGTACATATGGTGTGTATGTTGGATACTTGTCAAGTACGAGATGGTTAAGTGAAGCAACAATCATACGGACATCGCGAGAATGAGGTTAACATCATGAAGGTACTGTTGTATTTTTTTTCTATCGGTGTTGTTCCATATATGCAAGAACATATTTCCAGATGACTATTTGACTATCCTAAATGTGATATATGTGATGATATACAGCCCACGTTCTTCAAACAATAAGAATTCTGCGATCACTATGTCTAACTTGACACGTTTTGCGTGTATTGTTAAGACACGGAGATAGTACGAACAGTCCCCTAACGTACCAAACGTATATTAACGCAATTTTCTAATATTATGTACATATAAAGAGAATGCACAGCCTATCATTGGCCCAAAAAACCTCCTAAAGAACAATTGCTCTCTTTTCTTCTCCAAACCTTGTCCAACAAGAAGAAAAGCAACAACCACAAAAGCAAACAACCAAAGAGACCATACGAGCAACTAAGCCCCCATTGACGGCTTGTCCCGAAATCGTACCCTACCTCCACTCTCCCACATGACCACATGCTAGTAAGAAAGCCATACCCAAAACCCATACTCCGCCAACATTGCCTTACCCGCATACCTCAATGCACCACCCACCACCAACTCCCCCTCCACACCACGTGGCATACCGCTACACCGTCTTCCTCATAACCGAACCGAATAATACCGCAAACAGCACACATACTCACCGGACACACAAGTTACGCCTCTATCATCCGAACCCTAAGTACCATGGTCCACTTGCATACATTGGTGTACATACATACACATGTACATATGTATTCCTCGCAGCAACATTATGCGCCCTAGCATGCGCCTTACCGATGAACGACGCCCAACCACATCCCGCAGCGAACCATTGAACAACGACCTTTTACACCGCCAGTTTGTGCGCGCGCGTTGGAAAACCAAACAATCAAAAAACATTTCCCACACACACACGAATGACAATGGTGAGAAAAGAAACCCACACACCCATCTCAACAATCCATACAAAAAAATGACGCGGGTAAGAAATTCGTATATGTGTGTGTGTGTGTGTGTGTATGTAGGGCAAAAGCTTCTCGTCATGTGGTCTGGCACGCCGTGCATATCAGCGGTGAATACATGCGAGGACAACGAAGGAACAAAAAGTGATATCATGCAAGATGCAAGTTGGGAAATGTAACAAGCATGATCCTCATTTCGGTACCGAGAACCTATCCTACTCTACTTTGTAAAAGAGCGCAAAAAAAAACAAGCAAAGAGAGAGAGAGCGCGAGATAAGATGTAACGGCAACAAGTTACTTCACGTGAAAAGTCTTGCAAACGCAAACCACCTCGTTCGCCTCATCCCCCCCACCACAAGAAAAGTAATCAGAGCGGACTTGGCTCCAACCGCCTAGTTTTCCCCGCCACAAACCCGCCTGTCGCGCAAATGCTAAAATGGGAAAGAGGCAAGAAAGGAGAAGAAGGGAAAAAGCAAATAAAAAACAATGATGCTTTTCTTGTCTAATCCCCACACCACCAAGACGATTCCACCCAATCACACTTGAGTATTTTTAGGCACCCGCAAATCTCTGGTACGTAGATCGAGCAGAGTCTAGATGGAGGGTTAGATCCTTTCACCGCTAGTAGAAGAGAGGAAGAGAGACAGAGAGTGGAGGCGCTCAAAGCACGCAAGCAGCAAGCATGCAAGCAAGCAGAGCAGAGCATGCAAAGCATGCAGCTATAACGTTAGGCTACCAAAGAAAACTTGTTCATGTCCTTGGTTGGCCGGTTCTAGCCAGCTCGTCGCATCAATGTGCCGAGGCGTGCCGCTAA